TGCTCCGTCCCATGGCAGCAAGAGCCGTCCTGCCAGCCCCCTTTGCTCTGGCTCGCTCCCCCGAGTCCCGTCCCTGCCTGCCCGAGGCCTGCCCCACCCCGGCTGTTCCTGCTCTGCCCTTGACTCCAGCAGGGCTCTGCCCTCCCAGGTATGTGGACCCATCCATCCTGATCGCACCTCGTTCTGGAGCACGGCGTCTGGCTGGTCCTTGCCTTTTGGACTGTGCCCCTGGACTGTGTGTTCGCCTGAACCTCCTTGCCCCGCGGCTCCGAATCCTGGGCTGGCCAAGGACGTGTCCCTTGCCTCTGGCCCCCTGCGCCCGCAGCAGGCCTGCGCCCGCCTCTGCGCCCTGACCATTGTCCCTGCCGCCACACCCCAGACCTTGCGCTGTCCCAGCGAGGCAGGCACTGATCCCCTGCCGCTGGGCAAGATGGGGCAGTGGGGGCCGGGGGGGCAGAAGAGCTTCAGCGGTCACTGCTCTTCCAGGGACCTTTGTGGTAACTGCGCGCCAGGACCAAGGAACCCATGGTGCTGGGGTCCGACGACTGGAGAAGCGATGATTAAGTGTGGGAAGCCGAGAGCAGATCAAACATACCATGCAGAAGTACCACGAGGGCATTTGGTTGGTGCAACAGACCTTCCTGTGCAAGACACGCCCGTGGCTTGTCATGTCACACAAGTCCAGCCTAAGCCTACGACTGCCAAAATCGTAGTTCACTGACAAATCACTGTGTCTGGAAGAAGTACTAAATGCACCTATAAGATTTTTCAAACCGAAGCAGGAGAGAGAAATATTAGTACTCCATCATCTAGGTACATCGAAATAAAACTATTTCCTATGGGGGAAGGAGAACTAAATGTGGCGCCAGATCAACAGCATAAATACTGAAAAGGGTGGCAACCAAGAGGTGTCCTTGTTTCCTTTCCAAGTAGTTTGGAAACTTCGGATAACAAGCCATTCAGCACAATCCCACCCTTCTTTCTGTGCTGATTTCTTTATCAGTGAGTGTGTTTATGCTTCCCGCTTTGCAAATATCCACCATTCAGATGTCCAAAAGGAGCAAAGAAAGTATTTCCCCTTCCATTTGCTAATTTCCATAAGAGGTAAATAATTTAAAAGTGTATGCACATCAATGAATATTAGACTGTTGCAAGACAAAATTTATCTAATAATCTCCTTCCAAAATGAAGCAGCTACTGGGCTTTACCATAATATGTTTCAAAGGATCCCAAAAGAAGTATTGCATGGCCAGCAACCAGCTTGCTCAGGAGACTTTGCAGTGCTCAGCCGACACAAAACAAGCGTTTCAGCTGAACGAGACGATGCCTGCAATCCGTAGGCAGGAGAGGAGATGCCAAACTGATTCTGCCTTTGTGGGGGTGTCCACAGTAGTTTCTCCAAGTGCCATGTGTGGCCATGGGTCCGCAGAAGTTTGGCCCCCTGCTTTAAAATAGGCCCATAGTGTCACGCACGCTGCTCCGCCCCCTTCACTGGGTGCCCCGCACAGCCCCCCGGCACACCCTGCCCTTTGCCACCTCGCTGCTCCGGCTTATCGCTTTATTGCTGCTGACTCAGCCCTGCCACGCCAAGGAATGCAGCTCATTCTGTGGGGCAAGGGGGAGGCCACCCCCTCGCAGCGATTGTCCTGGCTGCGGTTGGGCTCCCCCAGACGCGAGCTGCCCACTCACCCCCGGCCCTCCCGCTGGTCTTTGTCCGGCCAGCAGCCCCAGCTGGCCTGCCCAGCTGCACGCGGGCCTGGAGTTGGGTTTGCAGTGTGCTGCCCCGAGCTGTTCACCACCGGTGCCAGGTCTGCCTCTCCCGGGCCAGCGGGAGGCATTTTTATGCTCTTGGCCTTTTAATGTTTGAGGTTGCCTTCTGCGCTCGTGGTTTGGGTTCGGTTCCTGGTTAGGGATAGATGTGGAGCACTATATACAGGCTGTAATGTATTAAATGGTATTTTGAGCGTCTGAGCACATGTGCCACTGAATGGCAGGATGATGATGAGATACTGCTGTGAATCCAACTCTTCTAAAGGATCAAGATGTCTTTTGATATTTGAAATCTGAATATTTGAGATAATGCAACCTGCCCTGCCCAGCATCTTTAGACTGCCCTTCCTCCTGGAGCTTCCTGGGAGCCGTCCATGCAATCCCGCTGCGGATCTACTGTGAGCCACGGCACGGACGCCCCTCCTCGCTTGCCTGTCTGGGAGGGGGAGCTGCGGTCTTATGTCAGAACATGGGAAGATCCCTGCTGGAGCAGGCCAGGGTCCAGCTAGCCGGCGTCCTGCTCACACGGTGGCCGCCCGACTGCCCACAGAACCCCCAGACAGACATGCCAGCAGCCACTCCCTCCCAGCCGGAGTCCCCCAGCTGTGGGCACACAAGCACATGGCCTCCGAACTGGGAGCCGCTTAGAGCTATCTTCCCCTCCACGAATCTCCCCCTTTTAAAGCCCTCCAGACTGGTGGCCTACACTCCAAAAAATCCCATAGTTCAACTGTGCACCAAGTGAAGAAGTACATCCCTCTGTCTGTCCTAAACCTCCCGCCAACCATCTTCATGGGATGACCAGAGTCCAGTTTTATGGGAGAGGAAGAAAAATGTCTCCCAGCTACTTTCTCCACACATAATTTAAGCATCTCCTTCACGTGCCCCTTATTCTCCTTTTTACCTAAGCCAAATACTCCCAGCTGTTGTAGCTGCTCCACCTCCCTGGTCATTTTGGTAGCTCTTCTTGCAGTTCAGTAACATCTCTGAATTCTAAGTGCCACACCAGAGGAGTATGATCCACCTTGGAGGTTTTATTTTCAGTTCCTTTCCTGTGCCAACCACGGAACCCGTCTTTCCCACAGCGGCTGCACTGTGCACCACAACCAGGATTCTTGTTCGGTCGCCATTTGGCCAGATCCCATCAGCCTACGCATGAAGTTGGGATCTTTTGGCACACCATGCATTACTTCATCCTTGCTTATCCTCAGCCAGAGTTACCATTCCGATGCCCATTCTCGGTTTTAACCAGGTTTAATAATGTGGTGTCATCAGCAAACTTGGCCACTTAGTTTGGGAGTGCTAGCTCCCAATTCCAGATCATGTAGGAACAGGCTGAGAAGCCTCGGCTCCAGTACCGATGCCCTGCAGGACCCCAAAGCGTACACCCCTCCACTCAGCGCTTCTGTTCTTTGGCCGAGGCAGAGCCACGCGTTCGCTCGGGCTCTCGGGCGAGGAAATGTCGCAGCCTTTTGGAACGGAGTCGCCCACGGCGGGGTCCACGTGTCACGGCGTGCAGTACCGGCATGGCCTCCACCGCGAGAGTGCCTGAACGGTCACCAGGTGGAGCACAACCACTCCATCCCCACGGGCCAGTCTCTTCCCCCTCCATCGCCCGGCCAGTCCCCAGGGGGCACTGGGGCAGGAATGAGGCTCCGTGTGCAGCAGCCGTGGCGGCCAAGCACCCTGCCTGAATCAACGCTCTCGCCTCGAAAGGCTGGCGAGGCAGGCGGACCTTTAGGAAGCCACACAGGTTCTTTTTCAACCCGGCACCTCCTGCTATATGCTTGCTAATTTTATCTTTAATGTTTTCAGCCAACTTATCCATGACAGATTTTAAACTAATCAGCTTGTAATTTCCTGGATCCCTTTTTAACAATGGGCATTTCATTAGCTGTAGTTCCATCTTCTGGTGTGGAGGCTGATCTTAGGATATGTTATATATTTTTGTATTAATTTCAGCAATTTCCCAGTTCAGTTCTTGAAGAATCCTCCTTTTAGAGAAGGTCCATCTTTTCTAGTCAAAGGTGGGCCTCTTCAGTGTTCTTCCATTTTAATATGTGTTAAACCTGTTCACAGCACTCACTGTTTCCAGTTGGTTTGGCAGCAAGTTGCGCAAGGTGTGGGAATTGTCTCTTGGGATCGGGTCCGAGGTCTCATCTGCTCCATGACTACTAGCTCTAGGGGTGCAGCCCTTCGGGACACCGAGTAACTGAACCTCTTTGTCATGACTGGAACATGTTAGCCTGGGATAAGGAAGACCACCTACCATTCGGACAAGTCTTCCTGGATTTTTTCCTCTATCTTGAGTATTCCGTCTGGGGAGCAAGAATCTGCTCATAGTACTAAACTTGTTTTGGAGCATTTTTTTTAAATGGGACGGGACAGAAAGCAGCCTTTGCAGCAGACTCTTCAAGGCTCTGGGGGAAGCCCACGAGGCCCCGTGCTGGGCCCCTTTTTCCCAGGCTGGATGCGCCCCCCCGTCTCAAAAGCCAAGTGCTGGCAGAAAGGTGTGTCTTCGTGGACACCACCTCCACTCCTCCGCTTCCACACAGCACCCCCAGAGTTTTGAGGTGGGATCCTGGGAAACCCCAGTGTCTATCCAGCTTTACCATTTTACCCCAAGTCGACAGCACCTTGGGAGGGGCCAAACACGCAGGGACGTCTGCCTCCCCAGGCAGGGTGCGCGGCTTGTCACTCAGAGGACAAGCCTGCCACTCAGCAGGGGAGTCCCCCTGAACTGGCACTGCCCCCCTCGGGAGACGTCCGGGGCAGAGACCCCCGAAGAGACTGAGCCGTTGTGCTGCAGAGAAGGGCCCATGTGGCGGGGCCGCATGGCCGCCCACTGCCCTCTCCTGAGGGCAAACAGGGAAGGCCCCACGCGAGGGGCGGGGCAGGGCAGGGCAGGGCAGGGCAGGGCTTGGGCCCCTCTCGGATCCCAGCCTGCCCAGCCGCCCCCGGCCGCCCCCGTGGCACTAACAGGCCCGTCGCAGTGCTGCTCCGGCACCTGCGCTCTGTAGTGCGAGGCACAGCAGAGGGCTCTGAAGCGTCCTCGCTCGCACTTCGTCTGGGACTCTCTTTTCAGTAGTAGTGGGCAATCGGGGCCGTGCCCCCCCAAGTGCCACCCAAAGGGATTGCGACACCCGCCTTTGAGGCCAGCAACAGTGCCGGGCACCACAGCGGGATGGGAGGCTGCCGTCCCCCGTGACTCCACTCACTTCACACAAAGCGTCTGTCCAAGACCTTTATTAACTGCAAAAATTAGGCGAGTCAGGCGTTCTGAGTTGAAGAGGCCGCTCTGCGCGCCACACGCTTTGCGCAGCCCGTGCAGCTGCCCGCAGGCGTCTTGCTGGCATGAGGGACCCTCCTGCCCTTGGGCTAATGACACGAGGCAGCCGGAAACAAGTCGTTCTCCAAACAGAAAAGCACATTACTTTCTGATTATAAATAAACCTCAAGCACTCCGGGAGCAAGCCCCAGAACAGGTGCCTTTGCAAGCAGAGCGACGCCTCCCCAGCACAAACGCGCCCCACAAGTCTCTGCCCCTCTGCCCTTTTATGACACGTGCTGCTTGACCCTCACAAGGAAAGGCCGCGTCTCCTCTGGAGCTGTGCAGGTGTGCGGGTGCCTGGAAGTCGCAGCCACCCAAAGCACCGGCGCCCTCTCAGCCAAGGCGTGGCAACGGCCCTGCCCGGGTGGCACCGGCAGGCTTCCTCAGCAGGCCCTCCCCGCCCGCGCAGCCTTGCTTCCGCAGCTGCGCTCGCTGCCACTGGCTTGGAGGAGGAGGCGCGATGCCACGCCTGTGGCGCTGCGGGGAAACCGGGAGCAGCTCCTTTCCAGCCTTCGCTGCCCTGCCTAAGAAGGTGGTGCGGAGCAGCCCGTGCTTGGCCCAGCGGCCTCGCTGCCATTACACGGCTGCAGCAAACTGGGCCCACGTCCGGACGTGTGTGACGGGAAGGAGCCATGGAGAGGGCATCTGGGATGGCGGTGCAGAGCGCCCGGGGCTGAACAGGTGGAACGGCAGGGGGAGAAGGGGCGGGAGCCGCTCCAGGGCAGCCTGGGGCTGGGTGATGGCAGGAGGGGCAGGACCCGGGCCTGCGGAGGAGGCGGCGGCGGCGGCAAAGAGTGCAAAGGTGCCCAGTCCGCTCCTGCGACAGCCAGCGCCGAGCCGGCAGCGGGCGCCACTACATCTACGCACACGAGGAGGTTAGTCAAGAGAGTGCAGTGCGGGTGGGCTGAGCGGGGCGGGGGGGGGGGGGGGGGCCTCAGGGCTGCTCCTTGGCCTCGGCATCTCTGTCGTAGATGTAACTCCCAACGGCGCCGGTGTTCACTCCTGCAAGAGAAGAGCCGCATGGGAGGAGGAAGCGCCGGGGCAGGCCGGCCGGCTGATGCGTCCTTTCATGCATTTCTATGCTGTCTCAAAGCTGACGCTCTCAGACAATACAGTAAAATAAAATAAAAATGACAAAGAACCAAAAACACCATTAAAAGGCTGAAACAGCTCAAATGGACAGTGACAAAGGGTGGCTCTGCAAAGCACCCGGAGTGAGCAGCCCCCTCAAGCCCCAAGTGGCCAAGCCAGCCTGGAAGGACGGGGGCGGCAGCTGCGTGGGATCGCTTCTGGCAGTGGGGAAGCAGCCCGTCTCCCCGTCCCCGGAAGCCGCCTCTGAGCAGCAGCAGGAGGAACGGGAGCGCTGGCCACGTGGTTCCTCCTTCCCCAAATGCCTCACTCGCCCGCCAGCCTCCTTGCCAGGTACGAGGCCTTGTGTCAAGGCCAGCCAGAAAGCAGGCAAGTGGCAGGAAGCGGGCAGAGGCTCTGCCCCGTTGGAGGGTTGGGGCCTCTCCGGTCCTCGGGATGACAGAAGCAGCGGAAGAACCAGCCGCCAGCCCGTGGCTGCAGCAGCCCAGCAGCAGGGCCACTCCTGGCCCAGAGCAGCCATGCCCCGCTGCCTCAGCATCCCTGAGCACCCGCACTCTGAGTGAGGCGAAGGGAGGTCTAGCACAGTCCTTCTGAAAGGAGAAAAGCAAAACTTTGGTAGGCTGGCCCAGGATGGGGTCCATGGTAAAGATGAAACATTCCCAGTAATCCTAAAGCCATGCAGAAAATTGATTTGGGGGCATGCTCAGGAGAAAAATCTGAAATTTTTGGAAAACTGAACACAGAGAGTGGTTATCTCCACACACCCCCCGTTCTGCCTTCGACCTCTTCATGCTCCCCATCCTCCCTGGCGGGAGAACAGCTGCTCCGCCCCTCTGGGATCCCTCTCCATCCACGCCACACTTACCCTTTGGTCCAAACAGGATCCCATAGCACGGCTTGTGGCAGTAGGGCTGCCCGTCATGCTGAAAGGAGAGAAGGCGGAACGAAAGGGGTTGCGTGAGCTGCAGTGCCGCCACCTCCACTCCCAGGGTCTCCCGCTTCTCCGCTGCTTGGAAGGGCCTCCTGGTTGCACACAGACAACTGAGCGGCACAGCGAGCCTCCCACACCGTCCTGCTGGGGCAGCTGCAGCACGAGGCTCAAGCAGGCCCAGCCCACCTGCTGGCTGTCCTAGGGACGAGGGCCGCTGCCAAGGATGCTGCCCGCCCAAGCAGAGCACCTCTGCCTGCCAGCAGTGAAGTCGCCGGTGTCAGATCTGCACAGCGGGCCAAGCGCTGCCTGCGTGCACCTCCCTGGACACCAGGGGGCGCCTCTGCTCTTCTGCAGCCCTGCTGCGGCCGCCCCTTTTGAAGCGGTGTCAGAGGAAACCAGTAATGCCAAACGAGCTGGAGTCCGTGGTGGGGCAGGCAGGCCTCTGCATACTAATCAGGGCTCACCCCCAACCAGCCGGACCCGTTAGAACACCAGCCCAGAGCCTGACCCTGGCACTGCCTCTCCAGGGGTCCTTGCTCACGTTAAGCCACTCCTACAAGAAGAGTACAAACCGGCCGCATGCTTTGCAACACACTGAGGGCTTGCGGGTGCCTGCGGTGCTGCCCGCACACACGCTGGGGAGCTACTGCCAAGCCACCAGAACCGGCCCCAAAACCTGGAACAGGGCAGAGTGCCGAGCTCCGCACTGCCGCAGACGGACCGAGCTCCGGAGCCGGCATCTTGCTTGCGGCAGGGACAGGTGGCTCGCACCAGGCATGCGGGCTGGCGTCCAACGCTGGGTGGGGCAGGCTTTCCTGGAACAGTGGCCAAATGCCTCGGCCCTGAAACCGTTCTCCTTGCTCCGACAGGTTCTGCGTAAGCACTTCACACAGATGACTGGGACGAATGAATGGCCACGTCAAGCTGCAATTAGTAATTCTAACGGCTCAGTGCCTTTTTCTTGTGAGGCTTGTACAAGAGGCGTTGCTTGTCCGGATCGTGCCAGGAAAGCTCTGGCACGCGGCACGTCGCGGAGAGCCGGGGCCTCGGTGCCTCTTCAGTGGGCAAGGCACCCATCCCGCTCCCTTTCCGTTCACCCTGGAGGCTCTGGAGCAGCAGCTCTGCGTGTGAAGCTGCCCGTGGCTGAGCCTGCAGCACCAGCGTGAGGCAGGGCTGGGGAGCCCCGGGCCTCCCGGGGACCGCTGCCTGCCCGTCCCCCAGCCCCACCCTCCCCACAGCTGCCCATCATTCCCCGGCTTCTGGTTTCCCGGTGCCGGCATGGGAGGTCCCCCATTCCCGAGTCGTGGCTGGCATTCAGGCCTGGGCAGCCCTACCTCAGCGTGGCCTCCGGGGTTCAGGGTCTTCCCGCAGCGCTCGCAGCGCAGGCAGGGCCGGTGCCAGTCCTTGCCCAGGGAGGTCACCTTCTCAGCTAGAGCAGACAAAAAGTCACAGGCACGTTCAGCACACTCTTTGGGCACAGACATTGATGCTGCTTGTGCCTTAGAAAAAGGTCACCAGACAAACCATCGGACAGGCAAAATCCAAAGCGGGGTGAAGCCGGAAGGGCTCCACAGCAGCAAAATAAAACCCAGCACCATGCAAATGTCGGTGCCCACTCAGCTGTTTCTAAATCAGAGCCAGCACGAGGCCTTTCCCCAGCGGGGGCAAGAGAAGACGGGCTGCGGTCGCCCCCGGGCACGCCCCTCCCGCAGCCCCAGCAGCTCTGCAGAGGTCCATGCCGCTGGAAGCAGCAGCTCACTCTGCGGGGCTCCCATGGGAGCTCAGCCGGCACGAGAGCCCTTTTCGGCAGCATGGAGCAAGGCAGGGGGAGGCAGGCGGCTGGCTGCGTGCTCTCAGTGGCCTTCTCGGGCAGTGGCGTGGCTGGTGGGGCTCCCCAGAGCCCCCGTGGGAGGAAGTGGCGGGAGGCTCTCCCGGTGGGCAAGCAGCGGTGCTTGGCTCCTCCAGCCCAAGAGCCTGAGGTGCGCACCTCGCCCTGCCTCTTCGGCAGCCCAGCCCTGCGCTGAACCGGTGGCACCCGGTGTGGGTACCAAGGCAGGCTTCATTGTGTGGGAAAGGCAGTGACATCGCCAAGGCTTGAAGGGTATTCAGTAACTTTCTGAAGCAACATTTCTGCAGAAGCAGAACGAGTTATGCACAATAAACAATTTCCTATGGGCTATAAATTATTCGCATCATTTAGCTAAGACGCAGAATTTGACCTTTTAAAATGCAAATGGGCCTGTTTACAGGAGCCAGCAGGCCGTCAGAATTCACACACAAAAGCCCTTAGCGAAAAACATGTGTTTTGACTGCAAGTCGGTACCTTCCCTCCTGGCCTTCCTGAGAGACAGAAATGCCACTCGGGTCATTGTGGGCAGTCACTGGTCCCTCCGCTTTGGAGCCAGAAACCCCCAGGAACAACAGGCCACAGGGAACCAGCCCCACTCAACAATTCCTTGATCGAGAGTAACTCTAAGTATCCAGCATGAGAACATTGCTTATGCCCCGTACAGGAACGATCCTTAAGTCAGTCATTTTCCTAAGCAACCAGCACACATGCCTGTTCCTTACTATAACACCAGGAAGCTGGGTAGGTGAAAGCAGGAAACCTGGATGGTACTCACCAAAATAGACCTTCTTAGCACACCGTGGACAGGTGTTCGGCTCTCCAGTGAAGGTCGTAATGCTGGAGGCTGAAGCAGAGAAAGGAAGGCAGCAATTCCTGAGCTCTGACCCCAAGAATGGGATCAGACAGGCACTGATGCTCCCTGGACACGCACCCTTCAAGCCGTGAGCCTGGAACGCAACAGCTCACAGGCATGTCCACACACCCTACAATGTCCGGATTTGTCCACACTGGCCAGGCAAGGGGCCTTCCAAGATCCGGCAATGACCCACCAGCGGAATTCCCCACCCTCCGCGGAGGAACCCACCGAGGGAAAGCGGCAACTCTGATGCCGGCGGGAGGCGCTCTCCCCACGCCTGCCTCCCAGCCGCCTGGGGGCTTCCCGGCTCACCTTTGCTGGGTGCCCTGGGGGCAGCACTCGCTTTCTTCTCCTCCACCTTGGCTGCATGCTCTATGGGGCCTGGCGCTGGCTGCCCTTCTGTCTGGGGCTTCTCGTAGATGTAAGACCCCGCTCCTCCAATGTTCACGCCTGAGGAGGGGGCAGGGAGAGGTCAGCAGAGCCCGGGTGCCCGGCGGCTCCGGGGGCTGCGGCATCCGCAGGGACATGTGGGGTGCTCGCTCGCAGCACAAGCACAGTCTCGATCCTGGGCCAGCCCCGGCCTCCCCGCCTGGCACTCGCGGGAGGCTCTTCCTGCTGGCCGTGAGGGAGCCCAGCATTTTGCTGAGGTACCTGGCCCACCCTGCTGCCTTCTGGGCCCAGCAGCAGGTCCTCTGCTTCAAAGCTACATAGACAGATACTGTGCAGGGAAGCAGGAGGCCATGTGCCCGGTGCAGGGAAGTCCTGGAACTTCCATGGAAGGCCTGATCCTTCCCCTGCTGTGCAAGGCTGCCCAGCAAATCTTTTGGCACCAGGTACCACGGTGCTCCGTCGGCCTGCTGAAGGTCTTCCCTCCACAGGCCTTCTGCTTGCGCTCGAGAAAGACAAGCGTTCCCTCACATGCACAGCGTAGGAGGCGGCAGAACTGCCTGCCTGCTCTTCTGCTTTACCACGCACTGCAGAGACTAGGGCTGGGAGTATCCAGACTGCCCCTCAGTCTACCTTTGGACAGGGGCATCCCTGGCCAAAGTATGTTTCCGGGGGAAATGCAAGTATCTGAAGCACGTGGGAAGGAGATGGCGGGCGGGTGAGCACAGCAGGAGCATGGGAGATGCAGGGTGGCTTGAACGCTTGACCCGCCCGCACGCACCGCTCCCGGGCTCCGAGCCATGCCCCCCCTCATTTCGTCTCCCAAGTGTTGGCAAGTAAAGTTCTGTCTCAGCCCGCGTGGGTCACATTCCAGGCTAAGTGCTTCTTGAGCAGCCGAGTTGCACGGCTCCGGAGAGCCGCAGATGATACCTACGCCAAGCTGGAGGCCTCTGGCTTGCCTCGAGAAGAAGCGAGTGCAGAACGAGAAGATCGGAGAACAAGAACCACAGCATCTGTGTTAGGGCTGAGTCTGCCCGACAACCTTGAAAGGAACATACCTTTTGGTCCAAACAGCGTCGCATAACAGGGCTTGTGGCAGTACGGCTTCCCATCGTGCTGAGACAGAGAAATGGCAAGCGTCAAGATGGCCAGGATTCTGAGCACTGCAAGTTGCCTGATCCAACCCTGGCCATCGCCCGTTCACAAAGCGGGAGCGAGCCCTGAAACAATTCACATGTGCTGCAGGACCCAGCAGGCCCTGTTGTCTTAGTTACTGGTTTCCAGAGTTTAATCTGCTTCTGCACTTCCAGAGCACCGAAGTTGCCTATCATAACACTGCTTTCAAATGTTGTAACAATAAAAATATACATCAGACAACAAAATATGAATACACCGTTTCCCAGGGCTAGAAAGAAAACAAAACAGGACAAAGGAAAACATACCAAAGTTTTTGTTTTTTGAGCAAGTAGTGAAAGACTGGGCACAAGGGAGTTAGACAGTTTTGGACAGGGACGTCCAGCAGGGAATCGCTGTTTCCTTGCCCATCCACAGTTTCTGGCAAACTCACCTGAGCTAGGCTTAAAGAGGTAGCACAAAAGTTTTTAAGGCCCCCAAATTTCCTAGCTCAACAAAATATCTGAGCTGAGAAAAAATTTATGGCTTCCCACTAGACATGACCAAATCTCCAGTTTTGCTTTATCTCACATTCAGGTTTTTAAAATCGTAAGTTCTTTCTATTATGTACAAGGGACCTTCAAAAAGTTTCCACACTTTTATATTTTCTAAATATATTTTATATATTTTTTCGCTGCTGGCATTAAAAAGTTGGTACGATGCTGGGAAAAATGCATCTCAAAGAAGGTGACTATGTAGAAAAGTGATGTAATTTTTTAGATGAAATTCTTCATAAATAGAGTTTTAAAAAGCACAAAAACCTTTTGTAGAACCCTCGTATATTAAGAAATGTTGAGGATTGCATGAGCAGAGCCAGCTGGAGCCAGGAGTCAGACTAGATGGCCTGGGAGGCTCCTTCTGACTTGCTTTTTTATGTTTCTATGTCCTGTGCTTCTAAAATTGTTAATTTTAATAATTCTTATCATAAATTATCTGAAACAAATTTGTCTTCTCTCTGGACTGGACAGTTTTTCCCAATATGGTGAGAACAGCCTGCCATACAGCCGTTGTCAACTAACAGCTTGTCGGAAAAGGAGAGGTACCAAATATGGTTGAAAACCCAGAGCTTTAAGCCCCAAACATGGCATGTCGCAGTCCTCCAGGGCATATTTGGCTGTCCCAATTTGTCCTGCACTTGATTTTTTGAAACCCCCTTCAGTTCTTTCTCTCCCATTTTGGTAAGCTCCCAGCAAAGCCCTCACTGATCACCACCCGCCCCGCACCCGCACCAGCCCTCCTCGCCCAGGACATGCTGCCGGCTCCTTACCGAGCACGAGCAGAGAAAGGAGGCCTCGCCCGCCCGCCCGCCCGCGAGGCTTCCCAGCGGAGGGTCTCCAGGGACGCCATCCCTGTGGGCTCCGGGGCCTCCCGCTCTGGCGCAGGGCGACTTGGCACGAGGGGCAGCGGAGGAGAGCGAAGGGAAGCCAGCCCCCCCCCGCTCCCTCCATGCAGCGGGGGAAGGGGTGCCCGGAGGGATTCTGGGAAGGGGCGCTGTGGCTGGACCACTGGCCAAGGCGGCCCAGAGCAGGTCCGCTCCGCCCTGCTCAGATCTAAGAAGAGGCAGCCTCCTGTCGGAGAGTCAACCCAAAGCAGAGGAATGAGCGGCACAGCTCCCCAGACGAGGCCTAGCCAGAGCCACGTGGAGGGGAACTGGCGCTTCACACATCTGGAAGCGCTGCTTCTATTAATGCAGCCCAAAACAGCACTGGCCCCTTCGCAGGCACGTCTTATGGCTGACTCATACCCAGCTTGCGATCTACAACAATTGCGACAGCCTTCTCACTTGTAGGGCTGTTGAGGCAAGAAAGGATCCATTTGGTTTCCTTTCCCCAGGTTCAGAACTAGGCCTTTGTCCCTACTGAATGTCATTCTGTAGTTTTCAGGCCAGTGCTCCAACCTATCAAAACGGCTTTGAATTTTGTTCCTGTCCTCCAGGATATCACCTACTCGTATCCCCCTCAATTTTATCTGCAAATCTGATAAGCGTCCCCTGCACTTCCCCATCTGAATCATTAATGAAAAAGTGGAAGAGCCCTGGGCCCTGCACCGGGCCCTGCTGGTTCCCGCCCCACAGCCTGAGGAGGTCCCCTGACAGTTGTTCCATCCAGCCCACCTTTTGCTAGTGTCCTGAGCAGGGTACCACGGGGTACTGGGTCCAAAGTTTTGCTGAAGTCAAGCCAGATTATGTCCACCGCGCTCCCACAGCCCATCGGGGAGGCCACCCAAAATCGCTGCCGGCAGTGAACCGCCACTTCCCCGGCTGTCTGCGAGCGCAATGCACCGTGCCCCACAGGCCGCCCGCCGGGGCTGCCCCGCTTACCTCCGCGTGCCCGCCAGGCGTGAGGGTCTTGTTGCAGCGCTCGCACTTCAGGCAGAACTTGTGCCAGTCCTTTCCCAAGGACGACACCTTCTCAGCTGCGGGGCAGAGAACGGAGAGAGAAGCCGTCAGGATAGCTGCTGGCCTGGTTTCTCCCGCTGCCTCCCCCTGCCCCCGTCCGCTTGCCAGGCCTGAAAGTGACGGGCACCATCAGTCCTCCCTGGCAGGGGAGAGGCCCTCCGCCCTCCACCCGGTGCTGGCTGCTGAGCACCTACGGCCAGAGCGGTGGGCGGGCGGCGAGCGAGGCTGGCGGGCCCCTCCGGCCAGGCAGGGCGCGTGACGATGGCCGATGGCCGGGCTCTGGCCTCTCGCTCCCCGCCTCCTCCCGCCGCAGCTGCAGCAGTGGGGGGAGCAGAAGAGGGCTGGCTGCGGAAGGCCCACACGCCCAGCTTGGAGGGCGGGTGCCGCAGCCCCCCAGGCCTGCGCTCTGAGGAAGGTCTCCGTGCCGAGCATTTCCCCATGGCCGGACAAACTCTGCTTAGCTTCACCTGTGGCAAAATGTGTGTTTCAGCACGGATGGCACGGGGAGCACTGCAAAAGCTCCCCACTCCTGGGCTGTGCCTGTTGCACAACTGCAACGTATAAGGCATGAGCTGCTGCCTCCTGCCCGGGGTTTTGTTCCTGCTCCGTTCAGTCAGAGAGGCCATCTCCACTCTCCACCTGCGGCTCACTGGAATCTCTGGAGCAAGATGGCTCCCCGCAGTCCTATTTAACCCTTTCCCTTGAATGAATAGACTTTGCCGGGGAAGTGGGGGGAGGCTCTCCAGGAGGGTGAAAAAAGAGATGTTTGAAAAATCCCTCCTCTTTCATTTACACGAACAGCTCTAGACAAAAACATGATAGTAATAATGGAAAGAATTTAAAATACACACAAATGGATCATTAAATGATACCTAATGCGAAGATTCTAATGTGTGTTGTCATAGGCTGTTTTCTAGTGCAGGACTGCCTGCTGCCCTTTGGAAGAAGACAGAAGAGCAGTGCCAAGCCACCTACACCCAGTTTTATGAAAACAGACTGGGCATTTTTGTGGACTGAGAAAGGAAGCACAGCGAAAACAAAGGACAGCAAGGACTGGATGGCAGCATGGGGTGGCTCTCCGCTGAGGAGGGACGCAGGGGGGAGAGCAGGAAGCAGGGGACTCCCTCCACGTCCCTGGAGTGAAAGCCCCCTTAAACTGAACACAGGCCCCAGCCGAAGATTTCACAGAAAAGCCGGGCGCAGAGCTGCCCAAGCAGAGAGTGCGACTTCTGTTTTTACTGAGATGAGGATAATTGATGTAATAGCTCAGGGGAACAGTGGGCCTTCGTGAACTCAGTTCAGGACATTTGGCAAAGGTAGCCAGAGGTGGGCTGAGGGGTCCCCTCTTCTAACGGCATGTGATTCTGTGGGGATGGGGCACGGGCAGCGCCACACTGGGCCTCCCGGACGGTTCCCCCGGCTGGATGGGTTCTGTTGTCCTCTTCTGCACAGCTCCATGGGAGGGAGATAATCCAGCCCTCTCTCCCTCCAGGGAGGGGCAGGGGAAGAAAAAGGAGGGCTGGGCTCTCCTCCTTCCTGCAGAACATTCTTTATCCTTAATCTTTCTTCTTGCGAGAAGGCAGCACTGGCACCACGGGTGGAAAGGTCAGCCATGCCTCCTTGGGGCGCGCTGCTCTGCCTTCTTTGATTCTTCGCGGGTGGAGAGAACCACGGATCCTGAATGGCCAGCGAGGCTTCATGAGCACCTCCGTGAGCCAGTTGCTGGGCAACAGCAGCCGGTCCAGCAGGCCAGCTGCAACCCGGGCAGAGCAACCAGTCCCAGCAGCCCCTCTGCCTTTCCGCCTCACCATGCTGATGCTTCTAGGGCTTTGTGGACGTAGAGGCTATCTCTCCCCTTCCTCTCTCCCTAGGAGGGGAACACCCCATGCCAGAGACCTCCCTGGGCACTTAAGGACAAGATTTAAGTTTTAATATACATTTGGGTTCAAGGCAACTATGAAAGCTGGAATTTCAATCCAGATAACTGTAAAGAGCCTCTGCTTGCAGGCTCAGACTCTGCTGCTTCAATGCTTGGCTCCAGTTGCACAAGCACACACGCTTCACATGGTGTGCCATGTAAAGAAGGACCAAGGCCCTGCGGCCCAAGCCAAGGGCCCACACAAACTGCTCAGGCACTCATGGCCCCCGCCAGCCAGAGACCCAGCAGCACACCCAGGCTGCGAGCAGCTGTGGCGGCAGCCCCGGCAGGCGCGGGAAGCTAGGAGTCGGGGCACGTGGCCACCCGCCTGGCAGGGCCCGTGACAGGCGAGGACAGCCTCTCGGTTACACGTGCCGTGGAAGCCCTCGCCGGTCCGGCAGGCTGCTGGCTCAGGTGTCTCCTTTTAATATTTCAGGCTGCCTTCAAGCTGCAGCAGCCACGGCACCCGTGCCTGGCCTCCCGGACAGCAGCTGAAGAGCGGCAGAGCAGCACCAGGCGGTGGGACCAGCAGGGGCGGCCTCTGAGGCAGCTGGCTGGCACCTCAAGCACAGGATTCGCTCTCCGGTCAGAGCTGAAATGCCATGGTCCTGGCCCCCTCCTGCCCCCCGCCCCCAGAATCTGATGATGGAGCTAGCTGAACTGTCCGGCCTTGAGCGAGAGACGCCCCCTGCTCCATCTAGGAGGCCTGGCGGGTGTCAAGAGAGGCGTCTGTGGGCTTGCTGGCTGGAGAAGACTCCAGAGGGAAAGAAGCTGAGTTCCAAACTAGCTCTTGGTCAAGTGTGCATCCCAAAGTTTAAATCAAGTTTCACAAATGGCCAAGGGAGACACACCGTCTTCCAGTCAGAATAGTGCAGGCAACTGGACTATGCTGTTCCAAGACTCTGGGCAGATCTGAGCACAGTGACCCACATGCTCCAGCAAATGCTCTGTGGGGCCTGGCAGAAGGGGGACCCCCCTCCCCCCGCTTCCTTGCTCAGTTTTGTCAGGACTGCTGCAGAGGCCATGATGCCGGGGGACGTGCCGCTCTGAAAGTGCCCTCTGGTGCCTCGCAGGGCCCCGTGTTATCACCTCTGCTATTTATGTGAAGTTGCAGAATGAAACTGTCCAGATGTCAGGCAGATTCTGATATGTGGACACCCACTTCTATTTTTGTTTTGCAACCTAACCAACTTGTGGCAAAAGAATGAGAGCCACCAAGTCCAGAAAAGCTGGGAGTTAATATGGTAGCATCATCGTGACTGCCCCTTTTCTCTCTTCTCATCTGTCATCATCATATGTACATTTCTCAGTGGTCCAGATTACACATTTATAACGTAACCGCTGCCTCCTCCATAACTGCTTTCCTAGAATCACAGAACAGTAGAGTTGGAAGGGGCCAAGAAGGGCATCAAGTCCAACCTGCAGCTGTTGCAGGACACCAAGTCACACCATCCCACCCAGATGGCTGCCCAGTTTCTTTTTGAGTGTCTCCAGGCAGCTGGTCCCACTGCTGTATTGCTCTGACAGTGAGGAAGCCTTTCCTGATGCCCAGCCTGAATCTGGGCTATCGCAGTTTGAACTGAGTATTCCGTGTCCTGCACTCTGGCATCAGCAAGGAGAAACCTTGACCTTCCCCTCTGTGGCAGCCTCTGAGGTCCTTATGGAGAGATCTCATGCACCCCTCAGTCTTCTCTTCTCAAGGCTGAGCATGCCCAGTTCTCCCAGTCTCTCCTCGCAGGGCAGTGCTTCCAAACCCTGGATCATTTTTGTTGCCCTCATAGAAACACAGACAAGAAGTGACTCAGAAGGGGCCTGCTGGGCCACCTAGTCTGACTCCCAGCTCCACTCAAGTAATCCCCAGCATCCCTCCTCTGGACCCTTTCTAATTTACCTGCATCTTTCTTAAATCTTGGTACACAGAACTGGACACAGGATTCCAGATGGGGCCCGACTAGTGAGGAGAACAGGGGAACTACTAATTTGCATGATTTGGATGTAATACTTCTGCTAATGCATCCTAAAATAGCATTTGCCCTTTTGGCAGCTGCATTGCATCATCAGCTGATATTTAGCCTGTTGTCCACAATAACCCCAAAGTCTTTTTCTTTTTCAGTTCTGTTGAGCCATGTATTCCCCATTGTGTATTGATGCCTTTGGTTTCTTTTTCCTAGATGGAGGACTTGGCACTGGTCCCTGTTGAATTGCTTTCTGTCGCTTTCAGCCCGGCGTTCAAGCTTGCCTAGGTCAGCCTGGATCTTCTTTTTGTCTTCCAGGATGACCTAGGCAAGGTCAGCTATTCAGCCCAGTTTTGTATTGTCTGCAAATCTGATTAAGCACTATTTGGATCCACCTATGATCCACCTCATAATCATTTTTCTATCTAGTCCAGTTTATGCTAATTTGCCAAATGAATGAATGTTCTTATTAGATTTCTATGTGTTTTGGTGAATTTTATGGCCACAAACTCCCTTGGACACTTTGAAATGCAAAGCAGAAAAATGAAATGAGCCGAGGTGGAAGAGCTGCTATTGTCTGATTCAACACGTTCCTGCTTGCAGTCAGCAGTGGCGCCACGGAGCTGCTTCCTTAGGGCCACTTCACAGGCAGAAGGGTGCACAGTGTGCAGGGTCCTTCAGAGGTTCCCCCCCAGCAGCACAAGGCACCCTGAAGGTCAGGGAAGCGTCCCTCCTCCAGAAGCTCTGAGCTGCAGCGCCAACGCCCCTCATGCTGCCTGCGCTGGCTAGAGCTGGTGGGCCGCCGGGTGGAGCATCACAGGACGGACCGCAAGGATGAGCAGCCCTTTCGAACTGAGCTCAACCGCAAAAGAATAAATGCTGCTTGAATCCGAGAGCAGTTATGGGGTTTCAGAACAAAGGGCAAAAACGACTTGGTGATTCAGAGCCTGGCCCCAGGATGGAGCAGGGCGAGGAGCACAGATTAACTCCAGGGACCCAGCGAACAGGTGCGGAGGCGCCGTGCCCCGTGGCTGAGCTCCCTCAAACAGTGACGCACAGCAGAGCAGAGCAGAGCAACACGCTGGGCAAGGGCAGGGCAGGGCAAGGGTGGTCCAGGTGGTGTCTGGACCCGTGGGTGGCAAAG